TTGCACAGATTGTTCTCTGCTGGAACAGGTGAGCAGGTGAGTAAGGGCTGAAATCTCGCCAGTGCTCTGCTTGCCAAGCCGTGTGTCCTGGACCCTGGAGCGGGGCTGTGTCCACCAGCAAGCTAGGATGTCTTTTTCCAATTTTGCACAAAGATACAATCTGCCAAACCATGTGCCTGCAGGGCTGTGGCCGCATTGAAGGGCTGCCGTTTTTCTAATCCACATTACAATGCTGGACTAGTGGCCATCTTAACATCACAGCCTGGACAGGGCACCCAGGGCTGGTGGATGAGGCCTCAGGCAGCCGATTGCTTCGTCTCTCTCAGCCTCAGTTTTAGATGCTTCTTTGGAGTTGGGCAGATCTTGCTTGGGTGGGAATGGGGTTCCTGGGTAGATTTCCAGTCAAGGGCCTTCTGTGCCCTAAAAGCAGAAAGGGTCCAGCTTGCCAGGCCAGCAGCTCCCAGAGGCAGGGTTTGCTGGGGGAGGAGGCTGCTTGGGAGTGGCTTGTGGTCTCCTTGGCCAGAATGGAGTTCCTTTTAGTAAGAGGACTGCCAAGCGCTGAAATTCAGTTGCGGAGCAGTAGGTGAGTGGTATCTATGATAAATGCCCCTGTGAATATTCCCCCAGTGCTGCATTTGCCTGAAGTGGGGGCGGGGAGAGAGGCTGTCTAGGGCCCTTATCAGGCCCCCAGGGGCACCCCATCCTAGTGTGCACCCTTGGAGTAGAACCGGACCCAGGGTTCCAGGCACCGTGATTCCTCCTGAGTCCACACCCCAGATGCCCAGTGGGAAGGGCGAGCTGGGGAGCCCCCAGCTGGACTTTTGCGGTGAGGAGGCTCAGAGGGTTCCTGCCCTCCTCTAGGCCCCACTACTCCTCACTGAGGCAAGCTTGCCTGACCCTTTCTGGACCGATGAATGACCTCAGGAAAACCCGGCACCCTGTTTTGAGTGTGACTTGACTGCCACAGAGCCCAGGCTGGCTTGAGTGGGTGCTGGAGAAGGAAGGCAGTGTGGGGTTGCAGTAGTGTGTTGTCTTGTGGAGAGGGTAGGGGTTGTGGGGCCCTGAGGGGACATGGTGTGGGGGATGGAGGCTTGTATTCAGGGCCATGAGAAGGGCGCATCAAGGGGCAGGTGTGGCAGTGTGGGGGATGTGGGTGAGGCTAGGACACCCTCAGGAGATGCCCTCAAGGCCTTGGACCCAGGGGAAAGCCACAGAGGAGCTGAGGATGCAGGACCACAACCTGGAGATGGAGGCAAGAAGTGGCTGGGGTTGAAGGGCAGGGGCAAGAGGTCAATGTGACCAGGCCTGGGAGGGTTTGGAGGTGGGGATGAGGGAAGTAGGATGCTTCACAGGGGGACACTGGGAGCCTGTGTGCCCCAAGGACTTAAGGAACCAGTGAACTACAGCAATGGTTGTGGGGTGGGAGACTCAGGATGGTCAGGACTTGTCTGTGATCCAAGGCCTGAGGCCTCTGGACACCTTCATCTAGTGGGGTGGGGATGAATAAGAGGGTAGACAGCCAGATCTGTGCCCTGATTGGCCTGATCAACCCCCTCTGGGCTGTGATGTGTCCCCACCATGGGTCTCCTGGTCCCATGTCATGGGCCTGGCATTCTCTGGAGCCCCAGCTATAGCTAGCTTGTCAAGGAGAAGCCTGTCTAGGATAAGCCTTGATCTTAAAGTCTCCAGGAACAACTGGTGGCCCAGTCTAAGATGGAAGGTAGTGGGGACTGTGGGTGAGAGCTGGGCCCATGGAGCAGTTCCTGCCAGTCTGAACTCTCAGAAGTGTCTGCTGCCTGGGCCGGGGGGGTGGGGGGTGGGAGGGTGTTGGGGAGGAAAGATACTCAGAAGCCAGCTGCTCTGGCCTATGAGAGGGGCTCCCAGCCCTTTTGCTTAGATACCTAGCTTGGCCTGGCTCAGAGGAAATGCCTGATGAAATTTCCTCTCCTTCTGTGGTCAAAACACAGTGAGCTCCTGCTCTGTACCAGGCCCAGTGCTGGATACTCGGGAGAGACAGATGGGCCTTGGGCCTTCCTGGCAGTGAGTCCAAACTTGTGCCTCCAGGACAGAATAGGGACATGGTGTCAGAGGCATCTAGGGCAGAGAGAAGCATCTGGAGGTCTGCCTGGAAGAGGAGGTGCTTGGTTGGATTCAAGGATGAGTGAGTTATCAGCAGGGGGAAGGTGCTCTGAACAGAAGGCAAAAGGTTAGGAAGAGGGTAGGTGATGTGGGCCAGCAGTGAGTACCCCAGATGTGTCCAGGGTTTATGCAGGGAAGGGAGCTTTGTCATAATTGGGCCCAGATGCCACCATTTGAGGGGCTACCAGCCTCCTCCTCAGATCTAACAGCTGAGTTTGCCCCTGATCTAAGGACCAGGTTGCTGGGCTATCCTTGGTGGGTGTAGGGTTCAGGTAGGGATGGGGGACCAACTATGTTCATCCCTAGGCTGGGAGCCAGGCCTTGACCTCACTCTGGGCCTAGAGCCCAATACCCTAATGTTATAAATGAGGAAACTGAAGCCCAGAAAACGAAAGTAACTTACCCACAGTCACACAGGAATTCATGATAGAACAGGTCATGGCCTCCCAGGTTAAAATCCAAGCCAAGAGGTAAGCAGCCTAGCAGATTCCTGCAGGCACGGGGAGGACGAGTCAGGCCTTCTGGGCTCCTTGTGAGACATGACCCTTCCCTGGCCTCCGAGAGCCACAGAAGGGACTGGATAGTCCATTCATTCAAGTAGCCTGACACTGACGCCTGGAAGTCCTGCCCACTCTAGGCCTCATCATTCTCCTCCATGACAGGCTGGTATTGGACAGTCCTAGCCCCCCAGAACATGCTTCTCTGTTCTTGGCTCAGCTTTCCAGGGTGCCTGAGCCTCTGGAAGGCCAGATGCTCAGAGGCTTCACAGTCTGGGGTGCAGGTGAGCTCCTGCCCAGGGGAGGTTAGATCCTGGTGGGGAGAGCAGCCTGAGGAGCTTGGCGAGGCTGTGAGTTCAACAGCAAGATCTTGGCTGAGCTGTCTACTGTGACCAAGGACGGCTCTGCCAGATTGCTGGAGCTTGTGATCCAGAGGATCAACAGAGATGTTTGAACAGCGGGACAGAGACCAGCGCACTTTGGGTGGGGGGAGGAGGAGAAGAGGTGCCAAGACGTGGTGGTGGCACATGGCCGGCCTGGCTGCATGGGACAGAGGGATCTGCCAATGGAGTCCTGAGAAACTTCCCATAGATGGGGTGGGAGGCCTGTGGTGTGATCTGTGTAGATCAAATGCTGGAGAGAGATCAGAGATAAGCACTCAGATGGGGGGCATGGCTTGAGCTGAGCTGGAAGGAGTACTAGAGGAGAAACCTACCACCCCCACCAGACCCAGAGCTGCCTCTTCAAGAGGAGGGAGTGCTTCCACCAGCCCCCTAGACCCAGGGCTCTGCTCCCTTCTGCCCCAGACCAGTGAGTTGCAGTGTTTTGGTTTGAGAGGGGCTGTCCAGGGGGCTGATGGGCATTGTAGTTGTTGACCCAGGGGCTGATGGGAATTGTGGTCCACACCCCTGTAAGGGCTAATGAGATTTGTAGTTCTCACTCTTTGGGGCTGATGGGAATTGCAATTTCTGCCCAGGGGACCCCAGCTATCAGACCTAGGCTCCCACCCTCAGAGGCCCTCCCCAGTAGTTCTCCTGGGCCCTATGTTAGCAAGTACATCCTTCCCAGATGGCTGTGTATGAATTTTCTTTTCTTTTTTTGCTTTCTTCTTCTTTCCGTTGTTTTATTATTGTTTTAACAATAATAAGAAGGCCAGAGGCAGTCAAGCCCTGGCCAGGTCCTGGTGGCCCATGGGGGTTCTGGGGAGGGGGAGGGGGGAAGTCAGTGGGGGTCAGAGGTGGAGGGTGAAGAAAGAGAAAGTTGGGGATTTAGGTTAGGTAGAGAATCATGTGTTCCTGTCCAGTTCCTTCACTCACTCCCTGTCTCTCCTCACCTCCCTAACTCCACATGGCTTCTCACTACCACTCCCAACGTCCTGTGGGTAGGACCTCCTCCAGTGTGTCTGTGACTCCCTGCCACTCCTTATCCCTTCCCACGTTCAATTTCTCCTCTCCCCGTGGCCAACTTGCAGTTACCCTTCAAAGCCCCTTCCCCTGACCATCCCCTCCCAAGTCCTCTAACCTCTGAGGAGATTCCTCCACCACTGCCTGTCCTGTGCCTCCTCCCAAGCCCTCCTTCCCCCTGCTCCCTCCCTCCCCACACACTGCCACCGAGTTCCTGGAAGAGCTCCCCAGCGCCAGCCTTCACCGTGCACATTTCAGTTTTGTGTGTAATGAGGGGGAGAGGGCGCGAGTGAGGGAGGAGAGGACTCTGGAGGAAGCGAGTTGTTCAGGGAGAGAAGAGTGAGGGAGGGAGATACCAAACAGATAGACAGGAAACGTTGTTCGGAAAAGTTGTTTTTTCTTATTTTTTCCGGGAGAACCCGCTTACACAGCTCTGTTTGTAATTTTTTTCTTCATGCTAAAATCACACGGCCTATTTGTTGATGTAAGTTGCCTGAATTCCGTGGTATGCTATCTTCTTTTTTAAAAACAAAAGCAAAAAAAAAAGCAAAAAAAGAGAAAAACCTAGAAAAAACCCTAAAAGATATTGTTGTTAGGTTTGTTTAAATGCTGCTCTTGTATCTGTTTTTAAAGCCTTAAACCAGTAGAGTTTCTTTTTTTTTCCATTTCTTTTCTATTTCCTTTCCTTTCTGTTCCTTTTGGTTTCTTAAGACAAACAAAAAACCAAAACCCAGAGAGCCACAGAGCCCGTGCGTGGGGTGCCCAGAGCATCCGAGCCGCTGCCCGCTTAAAGCGCAGGGCTCCGGCCGGCTGGCGGTCGGGCCCAGCCCGCTCTAGTCTCCGCCAAAGCCAATTGGAACCGATTTGGGTGTGTGAGGCTGTTATTTCTCTCTCTGTGCCGGCCGCCTGCGCCCCGGCCCTCGCTGACGCCCTGTCTTTTCTCTTCTCTCTCTTGTTCTAGGAGGAGAGTTAATATTGCCCATAATCACGGAGGACTCCTTAGACCCCCCTCCCGTGGCCACCCGATCCCCCTTCGTGCCCCCACCCCCCACCTTCTACCCCTTCCTCACGGGCGTGGGTGCCACCCAAGACACCCTGCCCCCGCCTGCGGCCCGCCGCCCGCCTGCCGGGGGCCCCTGCCAGGCCGAGCAGGACGACAGCGACTGCGAGGAGCCTATCGAGGCCTCGGGCTTTGCCTCCGGGGAGGTCTTTGACTCCAGCCTCCCCCCCACGGACGACGAGGACTTTTACACCACCTTTCCCCTGGTCACGGACCGCACTACCCTCCTGTCCCCGCGCAAGCCCGCTCCCCGGCCCAACCTCAGGACAGATGGGGCGACGGGCGCCCCTGGGGTGCTGCTCGCCCCCTCCGCCCCGGCCCCCAACCTGCCAGCGGGCAAAATGAACCACCGAGACCCGCTGCAGCCCCTGCTGGAAAACCCACCCCTGGGGCCCGGGGCCCCCACGCCCTTCGAGCCGCGGAGGCCCCCTCCCCTGCGCCCCGGCGTGACCTCCGCTCCCGGCTTCCCCCGTCTGCCCACAGCCAACCCCACGGGGCCCGGGGAGCGGGGCCCGCCGGGCGCGGTGGAGGTGATCCGGGAGTCCAGCAGCACCACGGGCATGGTGGTGGGCATCGTGGCGGCCGCGGCGCTCTGCATCCTCATCCTCCTCTATGCCATGTACAAGTACCGCAACCGCGACGAGGGCTCCTACCAGGTGGACCAGAGCCGGAACTACATCAGTAACTCGGCCCAGAGCAACGGGGCGGTGGTGAAGGAGAAGGCCCCGGCCGCCCCCAAGACGCCCAGCAAGGCCAAGAAGAACAAAGACAAGGAGTATTACGTCTGAGCCCCCGGCACCGCGCCCCACTGCCAGCTGCCCCTCCCGGGAGAGCCCGGGAGGAGGGTGCTGCCCTCGCCCTGCCGGGGCTCTGGGGACCCACTCCCTGGCTGCCTCAGACTTCTCTCACGAAGAGGAAACGCAAAAAAAAAAAAAAGAAGAAAAAGGAAAGGAAAACCCCGTGCTCGTCCCCTTCCTCCTGCCGGCTGTCCGGCGCGGAGTCACCGTCCGTCCTGGGGCTGTCTGTCTCTCAGCTCTGCGCCCGCCGGGCAGGGCACGTGCTCACAGTCCTGGGTTGATTTATTTTTTTAAGGGGGGTAGTTTTATTTTGGTGGGGTTGGGCGGGAAGGAAGGCTGGGGGTTTTGTACAGCGTCCGCTACTCGTCCTGTTCATTTCCCTCCATTTTTCCTGCTGCTCCCTCTGTTCCTCCTGCCTTCCTTCTCTCCCCAAGCCCTTCAGACCCCACCCCAGGCTTGCTGTGTCTCTCGTCCCCATCCTCCTTCCCCACTTCTCCTTGTGTGAGTCAGGTTTCTCCCTTCCTTTCCTCCCTTTGGGTTTCCAGAGTCGGTGGGAGAAGGGCGGGAGGGTGGGCGGAGCGGCCCAGAGAGGGGCGGGGCGGGGCGGGGCCTGGCGGCCTCGGGAGCTCTGGGCTCCGCCCACCAGAAGGAGGGACCTGCCTGGTGCCCCCAGCCAAGGGAAGGGGCTAGGGCCTGGGAAGGCCTGCTCTGTCGTGTGCCGCCGGGCGACGTGCATTGATGGGGAAGCTGCTGGAGGAGCAGGGTGGGGGGCGGGTGGGAGGGGAAAGGCAAATGCAGATATATATTGAAGACAAATAATCTAGATATCGCGAGCAGCAGCCTGTGGCACCCATTAGGCGCGGGCAGCAGGGAAGAGGGGGAGCCAGGCATAGCCCGCGGACTGCTGGGGTCACTTCTCTGCCCACAGGCTCCCTGCTCCCCCAGTTTTTTTTCTCTCTTTGTTAACAAATGTGTCTGAGTCTTGGAAAACACCCCAACCCCGGAAATGTGTGGGAAAAGAAAACAAAAACTTTCCAAATCCAATGGTCCTGTGCAGTTTGTTCGGGTCGGGTGCTGTTGGGACACTGGTCCCAGCTCTGGGCTGGGATCTGGGCCCAGACTGGAGCCCATGAGAGCTGGTAAGTAGCTCCCAAAGGTTTGGGTTGAGCAGGACTTTGAGCTCCTTGAGGCGGCTTGTCTTTGTCTCACCCTCATGTCCCAACAGGTTGGGGACAGAGGCAGGGGACAGCCCCAGGCCTGTGAGCGATGGCTGGTCTCTGGCCCCACTGGCCACGGACCTTAGCTTCTCTCAATGTCTGTGTGTGTGCTTAGTCGTGTCTGACTCTGCGACCCCATGCACTGTAGCCCACCGGGCTCCTCTGTCCATTGAATTCTCCAGGCAAGAATACTGGAGTGGATTGCCATTTCCTACTCCAGGGGATCTTCCCAGCCCAGGGATCCAACCGGAGTCTCTTGTGTCTCCTATATTGGCAGGTGGACTCTGGGGGCAGACAAATCCCCAGAGGTGGGAGCATTGTTTTGCCCTCTAGTGGCTAGAAAGGGCCTGCATTCTGGTGGTGGCTGCGTGTGCGTGGGGAGTGGGGGGACAGCCTTGATACAGCCCTCCAGGGAGGTAATGTTATTTGTGGGTGGGAAGAGCTTCAGCTGCTAGTCCAAGGTCTCAAGGTGGGTCAGTGTCTGAGTCCAAATTTTCCCCCAGTTCCGCCTAACTCCGGGTTCTCTGCCCCTTTTACATCTCTAGAGTTTGCACTTGCCCCCCATTGGCTGATGGTGGGCAGCCCCTGGGGCTGCAGGTGGGAGAAGGGTCCATACACCTCAGACCAGCTGTTTGCTTCTTCATGGGGACAAGAAATGGGCCCAAGGTCCCAGACATTCACAGATGGCTATTTGTTCATCCTCTTGGTCGAAAGGAGCCGAGACTCTCAAGGTGGAGGCTGTACATGAGGGCCCGCGTACTGGTGCATCCTCAGGAGAGCAAAGTGTGGGTGGGTCTGCATCTCCCAGAGGGCCTCGGCGGAGCGCCAGGCTGTTGGACACAGGATTCAGCCACGCTCCATCACTCAGGTCTCCTCTGCCTTCTGCTTGGTGGGTCTTGCCCCGCAGCCCACTGCTCCAGGCTCTGCTTTCTCAAACTCTTGGCTCATCATCACCCTTCATCGCCCTATTGTGCTTCCTGAGCTTCCACCCCCGGCCAGCGCATTCTTGCAACAGTTTCATAGACTGGTCCTTGTTTAGGCCTGGACACCTCCCAGGGTCCTTGGGCTCAATGCCCACCGGGACCCCATCCAGGTCCACCTCATCCCCCCGCATCCCTCCATTTTGGGATGAAGCTTTTGTGGTGGCACCCTTCCCCTCATGGGGTGTGCCCCAGTGGCCCTTGAGAGTCCTCCCTCCACCCTGAGTCCTAACAGGGGTTGGAGAGCGAGTCCTCCCCCAGCCGCCCCAGGGAGTGGATTTCCATGGAGTTGACCTCTCCTCTTTCCTGAACCAGTCACCAGGAGGGAAAGTTGGGCCTCGCTTGTCTCCTACCACTCACAGTCCTGGAGGGCAGCCTCACCGAGGTCAGCTGTCACCCTCTGCGGGAGCCTGCACGAGGCTGGCAGGGGGCAGGCTTGTCAGGATGTCTTGTCCCGGTGCTTGTGATGGCCTTGCCCCAGGGTCTTCCGCTGCTGCTCTCCCTGTCCAAGGAATGGAGACGTATCTCGGGTTCTTCTGCCCCCATCACCACTAGTCAAAGAAAACAAAGACAGGAGGCAGGAGTTCCTTGGTGTCAAGAAGGGAACATCCTTACTCCAGAAATTTCTAGAGCAGCCTTGAATAGTCTATCAGAGTAGGGGGTCAGAAAGGAGGACAGTGCAGGACTTGGAAGATGGGCTCCCGTCTGACTCGTTGCCGTGTGGCTGTGCGATTGTGCTTTGCTCTCTGTGTGATGAAGCTAACAGCCCTGACGCCTAAGGACATGGTAGTAAGAGGAAAGCATCCTGGCCTCTGCCACTCACTCCGAGTGCTTGTCTGTAAGAGACAGTCTCCTTGGTCTTAACCCCTTCATCCTGTGCATCTGATGTTGAACTTACTGCCTGGGCCTGACCTGGGCTCCTGGTGTCTGGCTGGGCTGGCAGTGACTCCCAGGAGAGTCTGAACAGCATGGGGATGGGTGAAATTCTGGGTACCCTGCTCCTGGACACTGGTACTTGCAGGGATATGTCAGGAGATTCTAGGGGGTGGGAGGGGAGAACGAAGAACGGGGTTGGGGAAGAAGCTTGCAGTGAAGCCTCGCTGACGCCTTTGACTGCGAAGACCTGCGCTGGCCAGGCAGGCCCCCAGGGAAGGGAACACAAGCTCAGCCATCGCGGGGGCTCTTTGGGCAAGAGGCCCTCCTCCTGGCACTGGATGTGGAGCCTGTGTGGCCAGCGCTGCCCCTCCCCACACACCCTCCCGGGTGAGCTGCAGGCCTGCCTGGAGGCAGGAGAATTGCCAAAGTGGGTCTTGAGGCACTTTCCTGTCCCTGCTGCCTGAGGCTTCTACTGCTATGGTTGGGGGGGGGGGGCGGTGGGAGGAAGGAGACTGAGGGGGTGGCTGTGGGCTCTTCTTTCCCACACCCACTTCCCTTGGCTCCACCCCTGCAGGGTGCCTAGCAGCTGCTGGGCCAGGAACTCCCTCTGATGGGTATCAAGAGGGAGGGTGAATCCCAGGTGAAGGCCTGCCACTTGGGTGGCCATGCCCAGCTGATTGCAGGCCTATGGTTGCTGCTAAGGGAGGCCCCTTTGCCCTTGGCAGGGCACTCACTCCGCCATGGTGACGACACTTTCTCCCTCATTGCCCCAGAGGGCCAGGGATCTGGGCCTCCCAGCATCCAGGTCCTGCTAAGTGAGGCTTCCCAAGTGGTGCTACTGGTAAAGACCCTGCCTGCCAATGCAGGAGATGTAAGAGATGAGGGTTTGATCCCTGGGTCAGGAAGCTCCCCTGGAGGAGGCAATGGCAACCCACTCCACTATTCTTACCTGGAGAACCCCATGGACAGAAGAGCCTGGCAGACTACAGGTCATGGGGTCGCAAAGAGTTGGATACAACTGAAGCAGCTGAGCACGCACGCACGCACACACGCACGAGTTAAGTGAGGAGTGCCACGTGGGAACTGGGTGGGCCCCCCTGGGTCCTGGCAGGCTGAGACCACCTGGAAGGACCAGGAGCAAGGCCATTCTGAATATGGGCAGACAGATGACTCCGAGCACTTGGTGAGCTGGAGGACACCCCTGGGGAGAGGAGGAGTCATCTTCCACCAGACCTGGGGTCTGCCTTCTGGAAGCTTCTGGCCACCCTGGGGCCCTAGAAATGCTAAGCAAGGGGAAGTAAGGCAGCAGGGGCTCAGTTGGGCTGCAGGTGGACAGGACAGAAAGTCCAGGGCAGGTGGAACAGCCTCATCTTTGGGTGTCTTTACCAATGTGATCTCCGCCCCATCCCCTTTGTCCTGGAGGCAGATAGCTAAAGGTCATGACCTCCCAGAAGCCCAGGCAGAGAAGACCAAGCCAGGGAGTGAGCCCATCTCCTGGGGTCAGGGAGCTGCTTCCTGATCTCCCGATAGCCTTCTCATGTGTGCGCCCATGTGTGCGTGTGTACACATCACTGATACATGTGTGTGTGCGTGTGTGTAGAGGTGTGTGGCCCTCTGCAGAGGCACCTGGAAGCAGAGACACAGGCGCCTGAGCACCGGCTGGGGGTGGCTCGGCAGATGGCGCGGCTGCTGGAGTCCCGCTGGGCCCCGACGTGTGCGTGAGCTGGGCCAGGAGAGCTCAGGGGTCATCCCTTTCCATCTGAGCCCTTGCGCCTGGCTTCCCTGTAAGTGATGCCAGTGCAGGGGTTCTGGATGGTTCTCAGATGGCGTCCGTGCCCTCCAGAAGCTTCACTGGGCGCCCAGATTGTGAGGCCTGAGCGCAGGCAGGAGGGTAGTGGCCAGAGCTGGCTTCGGACAC